GGTTGATAGATAGACAGATAGGTTGATAGATAGACAGACTGATAGATTAGATACATAGTAAGATAGATATTTTTTGTATTCCAGCATTATAAAAAAACCTTTTTTGTTGCAAGAAATAGTTCATAATCGGGCATTTTGCGACACAAATGATGACGTATTAGCTTTTATGTCACGAATGATTGCGTCATCACACATCATCAGAGCTAAACGGAACAGCCGGCCACCGTTGACTCGCACGATGTCAAATACCTGAGTCGTCACAGGGAAGTTGTTTCGCAAAATTAAGTTTGATTCTCTTAAAAATGTGTAATGCTGTTATACAAAAAAATATAGTATGCAACTCGTTTATAATGTTGATTTATTAGATTCGTACAAATTTGAAAACTCGATCCTAAAGTCGCTCGTTTTCAAAACATGTACTCGTGCAATAAACTTTAAATATTATAAACTAATTGCATAAACTACTACTACTACTACTTATTATTATTATTATTATTATTATTATTATTATTATTATTATTATTATTATTATTATCTCTCCGATGTCCAGTTGTATTCTATCCTGGAAAGATCAACGTGTGGAGATATCGGGATCAGCTTTTCGACTGCTTCCCTTGGTTAACGTGACGTGACGTGTCCGAAACAAGTAGCCTTTTTGCTTCGGCAACACTTTGGCACAATATTGACAGCGCTTTGCCTTCTAAAACCACAATTTTGAAAATAAGCCTGTAAGACGATTTTAAGCATATTTTGTCTCATGAACTCCTTACATATTCCGAACGTCTGGGCCGCAACAGGCACTCAAATCTTGGTTTAAAAAAGTACTTTCTATGAAAAAATTAGCATTTCAGAAACATGTAAATTGTTTATTATTTATGAAAGTAGTTAATATATTTGTGGATTAAAAATAGTCTAAAATTAGTCGAGTTATTTTGTTTATTAACTTATAATTGAAATTTAACGAAAAACAAGGTTAAAAGCCGCCTCTCCATGTGCGAAATAGGAAGTAAATACCAGGACACCAATCTCGGGCGATTGATGAGGGTAGTACAAACGGCGTTCCTTTGGATTTAACACACATGAGTGGTGCCAACTTTTACACTCTTTTTCTCAGAATTGATGAAATGTCACTAATAGTGTTCTGGTTTTCAACCATTCCTATCGAAGTTTAAAACATCGACGTTTTCATAGAAACAAGGACATTTGGAAAACATGTGTGTCTAGGCTATCCGAGACGAACCGCGTCACTGACAGGGTGGCTAACGTTCCAGGCCAGCTTATCGTTGCCTTCTTCAGAGCAAACTCATAGGTACAGTCATAGTACACTTCATCAGTACGCTGTGAAGAAGGACGCTGTCCGAAACGTTAGCCACCATGTCAGTCCCGGATGGCCTGGACAACACACACTCCGGCCGCGGAAGCCTACGCCGCGTCGCTAGCGTGTGCGTCGTTGTGTGGCAGGTGACGTTTGCGGAGAGCGTGCAGGTGGTGGCGCTGGAGGGCACGGCCAAGGACCAGGTACGCCCCCTACACTCGCATCCATCACGCGACAGTACCAATAGCTCAATAGAAACAAAAATGACGTACATTTCCTATTTTACAACTTACAGCTCTCAGACTTTTAGATCACAAAAAAGAATTATACGAATAATGAGCAAATCCCATCCACGTGATTCGTGTAAGCCTCTCTTTATTAATCTAGGTATTGCCATGTATCTTCATATATGAATCAGTGTTTTTTGTCAAACATGATTTACGTCAGTGCAGGAATGTATATATTTTAAAAAAAATGGCTCCAACATTTTTGATAAAATGGTATCGGTTAGATTAATAGACATTAATGAAAATGGCGGAGGTCTCATTTATGTTGAAATTTAATTGCAACAGCAATTGATTAGATTACTTAGAAATTTTATGAAGAACATTTGTTGCGTCTCGTAAATATTATTTGAAGCAAGAAACATACTATAATATCGATGTCAATGAAATATACGAAAGAGAAATCGATGAAATAAGCGAAATATGCATTAAAAATAATGGTAAAATGTAAATATGACTTATTAGTCTAAATCGACGAAAAAGAAAAAATGAGTAATTTCCTTTTTGTCATAACTTAAAATTAATGTCTATATTGTTCTAAACTGTAAAGAAAAAAGACGACATTTCATTAAAATCCGCCCCTGGTTATAAGTTTTCATGAATACGTACTAAATAATATTGAACGAAAGTGTCTTTTTCATATTTACTAGAAATTGCCGGACTCTGTTTCTATCGTTGTCTTGCCCGTCAACATGCTATTCGTACGCCCAAGAGTCAATTTCTGAACTAGTTAGGTAAATAATTATTTTTGTATTCCAGCATTCTAAACTACCTTTTTGGTTGCAAGATAGATAGTTCGTTAATTGACATTTTATGGCACGTATTTTTTGCCACAAAATTGCATCTCGCATTCTGCCAACTGCAGCGAGAGAATTTTGTCTGCGATCGATCCTTAGAAACCTTATAACGCATTTGGTGTACAAATAACTATTTTTTTAAAAAAAAAGACAATTTTAAGAGGGTTTTTTCCAAAACGATTCTTGCTCTCCCAACTGGTATCGTATTTATTCTACAAGCACGTTCATGTAGGTTACAATCGATAGGTACGCGGTAAATGCCAACCAGTGTGACCGAAAGAAACTGCTTGTGAATGATTTGTGACGGTGCTGCTAGTCTCGTGTCGACTGTTTTGCTGACAATGCTTTGGCGCGCGAGTGCAGGTGAAGGCGGGCGCTGGCCGGCGGTCGCTGTCGGGCAGCCGTCCTCGCAAAAAGAGCCCTGCGCCGTCGCCCGAGGAGGCAAAGGGAAAGAGGGCCAAGGCGAAGAAAGGCGAAGCGGAGGCGGCGAGGCCCGACAGGGCCGCTGCGGCCGACTCGGAGGCCAAGGAGTCGAAGTTGATGGCCAAGGAGGCGAAGCCAAATGACATCCAGTTGATGACCAAGGAGGTGACGCCAAATGGCATCGAGGTGATGGCCAAGGAGGAAAAGCCAAATGACATCCAGTTGATGGCCATGGAAGAGAAGCCAAATTACTTGGAGCTGGACAAGGAGGCGAAGCCAAATGACATCGAGTTGATGACCAAGGAGGCGAAGCCAAATAACATTGAGTTGATGACCAAGGAGGCGAAGCCAAATGACATCCAGCTGATGACCAAGGAGGTGACGCCAAATGGCATCGAGGTGATGGCCAAGGAGGCGACGCCAAATGATATGGAGTTGATGACCAAGGAGGAGAAGCCAAATGACATCGAATTGATGGCCAAGGAGACGAAGCCAAATGACATCGAATTGATGGCCACGGAGACGAAGCCAAATGACTTCGAATTGATGGACAAGGAAACGAAACCAAACGACTTCGATTTGGACAAGGAGACGAAGGCAAATGACATCGAGTTGATTACCAAGGATACAAAGCCAAATAACATTGAGTTGATGACCAAGGAGGCGAAGCCAAATGATATGGAGTTGATGGTCAAGGAGGCGAAGCCAAATGATATCCAGTTGATGACCAAGGAGGTGACGCGAAATGACACCGAGTTGATGGCCGAGGAGGCGAAGCCAAATGACATCGAGTTGATGGCCAAGGAGGCGAAGCCAAATGACATCGAGTTGATGGCCGAGGAGGAAAAGCCAAATGACATCGAATTGATGACCAAGGAGACGAAGCCAAATGACATCGAATTGATGGCCACGGAGACGATGCCAAATGACATCGAATTGATGGCCACGGAGACGAAGCCAGATGACTTGGTGTTGATGGTCAAGGAGACGAAGCCAAACGACTTCGAGTTGGACAAGGAGGGGAAGACAAATGAAATAGAGGTGATGGCTAAGGAGACGAAGGACATAAAGCCAAATGACATCGAGCTGGAGGCGAAACCAAATGGCATTGAGTTGGTGGCGATGGAGTCGAAGAACGAGACGAATTCAAATGGCATCGAGTTTATTCCCAAGGTGTCGACGGTCCTGAAGCCGAATGACTTCGAGCTGACAGCAAAGGAGTCAAAGGACGAGACCAATCCAAACGACATCGAGTTGATTCCCAAGGAGTCAATGGAGGACCCAAAGTCAAATGGCTTGGCGTTGATGGCAGAGGAGTCGAAGGACGACACGAAACTAAATGTCATCGACTTGATTCCCAAGAAGTCGACGGACCAGAAACCAAGCGGCTTTGAGCTGACAGCGAAGGAGTCGAAAGATTCGAAGCCTCGTGGCGCCGATCTGGAGGCAGAGGAGTCGCAGAGCGAGGAGGCTGTTCGAGAGATGGAGGCGATCGCGGAACCGCAGGAGGAGGAGAGCTGTAACGCTTCCGAAGAGAACGGTGAGATAGGTAGCGTAGAGCAGGGTTGTCCAACTGGCGGTGCGCGGTGCCGTTTATTGTGGCCCGCATAATGTTATTAGTCAAATGCGAATATACATTGCATCCATGTTGGGCGAGAATATTGCGTATAACGCATGCGCCCTCTCGGGGGTCAACACCCCTTTAATGTAAAGGTTGGTTAAGTTTAGATTTAACGTTTTTTTGTCTAAGCAATTCAAAATTCATAATCACCCCAAAGCGTTTCACTGCATGAAACGGCCTGATACCAGGCATGGTTCCATTCGTTGGACACCCCTGCTGTAGATGAATACATTTTGTCTCTGAAAGTATATTTTTTAACATGGTGGCTGGCTACTATAATTTTCATTCATTACAGCTAAAGATATATTAATACAATACAACTGAAAATTTGTTTTGAATTAATAACAATAATAATAGTAATATCAAAAACGTTACATGTATATATCTAGTCCATATACAATATTTAAAACAAAATGTGTCATTAATCATACAACAAGAATAATAATAAAATTAAATATTAACATTAACTCAACATACATGTTGTTCTTGATTAATATACAAGCGTGCTGTAATACCCTGCCATTACATCTACTTATCTCAACGAAACAGGGACGAAAGTGGCCGTCTGTTACAAACCCTACAAACAAAATGGTAGCTAAAGGTGTTAGAGAAATGGATCGAAAAAATGTTATTTTGTGTTGTACAAAGGGAGTAGAAAAAAGCCAGTTACAAGATTTTCTTAAGTTATTTTGATTTATTATATAAACAGTATTGAAATTAATACATTTAAAAACAATTATTAATCTCAGATCTGTTGGTTTTTGTTTATAGGTGCCAAACAAGCCACTAGTTTCTGTGATTTTAGAGACTCATATTTTTCTTAAAAAAATCTGGAAAAGAGGATTTCGGTTCTACCCAACGCGGTGGACGAACCACAATCTGTACAAAAAAGTGTCCAATACATGTCGAATTATCTATGTTGATTGAAAAATAAAAGAACATTGTAATAACATTGTGAATTTAAGTTTATTTAATAAATAACTAGCTTTTTCGCGAATGTCTGTGGAATCTGATGTTTCAGAAGGAAACTACTATGAAGGAAACCCCTGTAAGCCTTCATGCCGGACCTTTCGTTGTACATGCAGGCTCAGAATAAACGGTAAAGCCGTGTAGAGTACATTGAAGGGGAAGAATATAATCCCTTTTTACTTTCTCGCTATGGAGTAGGGAGAAAGTTATGCAATTCTGCGCGAAAAACATCGAATGTTCGGCAGAAAACTTATTACAGAGTCCTGGTAACGAAAAGGGGGATAAAACTAATGGCTAAATTTAGAATAAAAATTCTCTTCTTACGGGGTGTAGCCAGAATACATGTTTTGGAGGTTCTTGATACCGAAAAAATTGAATGACGGTAATACGTCCGTTTATCTACCCGTCCGTCTGTAAACAACGCTAACGACTAAACCTTTCAGTCGATTTTCTCCAAAGTTGATATTCCCCTACCGATCTGACTGATGTCGCGGCCCCTTGAATTTCAAACCGATATTTTTATTTTTGTGGGTACTTTGCATGATACCTTACATGGGGGTACTCTACATAAAGTGTATGTAACAGAGTTACACGTGTGATATGTCGCCCTGATTGTTTGGTAACTTTTGATTTTTAGAAGGTTACGATTGAGCACAGACAAGTTTAGATGCAACTGCCTAACATCAGTGCATACGAGACTGCGTACAAATCAGCGGCCAGTCTACATTTATAAATCTTTGACTGAATTTGACAGTAGGGTTATTGGGAAAAATACACTTCAGTCTGCCATAGAAGTTTGTACCATATCTTCTGAGACACCCAATATTAGGCGAGAGTCAAGGTTTAAAGATCTCATCAAGCCAGTGCAGGCTGAAAGAAGAAATTTCACACTGGGTCTGGAAGATGAATTTCCCAAGTAAATAAAAGAAAGAAGTTGATGTTTGTTGCTCCAGTTGGAAAGAAGAATTTGATGGGAGGATTTTTCGGGTGAGTATTCATCTGAAAAACAAACCGAAATCCTCTTTTTCCTTTAACCACGTTACCGTGTGTAAAATACTGATTTCTACCCTGTTTACATATGCCATAATTCATTATATTTATATTTTTACATGACATTTTAACTTTTAGTTCCAAACTCTGTGGATACCATTATAGTGCTATCATGAGTGACTATACACATTTATATACAATCTCAGATTGCAAATCTCAGATTAATAGTACAAAATAGGTTTACATGCTGGAACACTAATTACAATTTTGAATCACAATATATACAGTAGACCAGTCTTCGCGAATTCAACTGTGTAAAACGGTTTCAATAGACGAATGTGGTTAATGGCAACGCTGGGTACCTTAGCTAGTGAATAAACATGACTGAGACCTCTATTGCATCGATCCCTGGAGGCCAATATGGGAGACAGAACAGCCGGTGAGGCAATTGCTGCAATCCTCTACATCCTCTTCTTCGAAAACACACCGGATTAGGTTGCTCGGGGCGTCATTTAATGTCACTGTGGTGCCATTGACCATGTCCTAAGGTTCGAGCCTAGATAATGGCAGGGTTTTTTATACAAGGTGGGTCAAGTTTAGCAGCTGCTATCTGGAGAAGAATTCTGGCGACCGGCTGCTCTGATCGGTAGTTTTCCGTGGTTTCTCCGATCAGCACCAGGCGAATGCTGGAGCAGTACCCTAAAAAATGGAAAGCGCGCGCGATCTTTCCTACCTCTTCCTTGCCTTTTCCTCACCCTCTACAACTCTCCCACACATGCCGGGAGACCGATCGGGAGCTTAGGGGTCGTCACGGTTGGGCGGTGCCCCGCTTATGAGAGATACCTTGTTGTGGAAAACCTCGGACGATAAGCGGACGATAAGTCAGTGCGGGATCTCGCCATCCAGCTGGTATCTCCTCCACCTTCCGAGAAAAAAGCATGCACCACACTTACGCGTCTAATGACCATACTAGTTGTTCCGGGTTCAATCAATACAAAAACGCCCTATGTGGCGGAAGGACAGGCTGAATAACAAAAAAGCCGGATAGGCCTGAGTTCTATGAACTCATTTCTTTGCCCCACCAATATCAGAAGACAAGGTTTTTATACCAAAACTCACTGTGATAATACTTTTCTCACTTTCTATTTAGAAGTAAGGCCTCTATTTATCCACATTTAGCAACATACAATGTGGATGCAGCCTGATGAATCTTAAAAGCAGTTGCTGGAAATGTGTCGACTTAAAAAAAAAGTCTCGATCTCTGTATCGATCGTTTATAAATGCTTATGTACTGCACATCTCGTTTCAAGCACTTATTAGGGAAAAAGTAAGTTAAAAAATATAAAGTGTTCGTATTTTGACGTAACCTCAGTACTGCCTAACTTAAACGCATGAAACACGAACAAAATTTTAACGTGAATCGCAGGCGTAATTATTAAGAAAATTGGTTCAAACACATTTTATTTTGCCCGTGACACGTAGGAGGATCGTAGAAGATGGCAATTAAATTTGTTCATCATTTAATTACGACAAAATAAAATTGAGCCGGATAGTCGCGAACCAGGTACTCTGAAGTCGACTGTAATGGTCGAAACGCGTGGATAAAGGGGGCGTAATTGCGCGAGTGGCGCTTTCAAGAAAATGAGCGACAACAGGAGCCAGATTTTGTATTTGCGCCGAGTGAAATTACTCCCCTTTATTCACGTGTTACGTTCAATATTTTTTCGTTTCAGTTTAAGAATAAATTAAATTTCGTGATCTTCATGCACATCTTTAGCTTTTGCGGCGTATGTTTTACGACGTTGTGTTGTTTGTGGAAAGGATATATTTTAGTGGACGTTGCGTTGTGTACTTATGATCAGTGTAATGTCTTAGAGGACAAAGAAATGTTTGCCAATGAAAAAATATCGAACATATTCCTGATGAAATATTAGAAGCTGACTGTCATGAACACATTACTTTCTACGATAAATAAACACAGATACGAGAGAGAATGCAACATGTAAAAATGTAAGAAGGTAAAAATATACATGTTTCTAAACAATTAGGGACTATGCTATCAAAAAAAATTTATTTTAACAATGGTGTATAAGACATTTTATTAAATAATTTAAAAAAATTGTTAATACATCTGTAATAAGTAATATACTTCAGCTTCTGGGCCAAAGGTCCCTTTTCGGTCAGTTTTTTTCCAGTTTCCGTGTAGATTCCAGATCATAAATGTAGCTTCACATACGCACGTTTTCATGATCTCTTCTTTTGCTAGTTGTCGTTCGTTTAGTACGATTACATGAATTCTGTATTTCATTTGTCGATGCAAACAATTTTCTATAACTCAGAAGCGAGAATGTCCATTTTCAAATATTACTATCCTTGCATGGTTGGAACTTTTATTTATCCTTCAAGTGTATATCTCATCTCCAATAGAAAAGTAAAAGTGCGAATTTCTGATTTGTCAGAAATTGCAATTTTAAGTTTCGTAGTTCTGTAATACTTGTTATAGATTGTACCAAATATTCACCGTTTAGCGGACAGTAATTGAACTAATTCAAAATCAACTTCAGAATAGTAGCAGTACCTCGTGGTAACCTATTATCAACTTTTAGCAGGAAAATGACGATTTCGCACTTGGGTCTCTTTTCTATTGGAAGTGCGATATGGTTGAATGGTGGGGAAAGGCTTCTGCAGTTCAAGAAAACATGCGCAGATTGCACGTCATATGCTGTTTATATCGTTCAATGGCCACATAAACGAAATGGAATGCGGGTGTGCGTCCTGCTTTCAAGCGAGTTGAGTGTAAACGTCTTTCGCAGGTGGCCGCGTCCAGGGAGTCGACCTGGCCAAGGACATAGTTGAAGTTTCGGAGGCGGCAGAGGTGACGCCGACACCCGCAGACGACACGTAAGGAGACGGTTCATTTTTAATTTGTTCTTAGTTAATTATTAATCACTTTTAATCAATGAATCAACGTGCCCGTCACCGACTTCATCTCCCTGTGACTCGGCCGCGATGGCTCAGTGGCAACGTAGTTGCTTCTGCTGTACCGCTGGCCGGGAGGTTCCTGGATTTGAGAGCAGACGGTGGCAGGAATTTAGATTCCATCTGTATAGCTAGGCTGAATTGTGGAGGAGAATTCTAGTGGTCGGAGGCTGTGATTAGGAGATTTTTCGAAGTTCCTCGGACCAAAATCAGGTGAATGCCGGCGCGGTGCCATAACAAGTTGGCTAGGGACCGCGAGTGATATTTCCTTCCTCTTTCAACCTTCTTCCTCACCTCTTACTGACGCACTCTCACGTGCCTACACTAACACACCACTGTCTCGGCCGGGGCGGTTCCCTGCTAGTGGGAGATAACTGGTAGCGAAAATTCGCCTGTCGACTTGTAGCGATAAAAACAAGCACTACACTTAACAGCAGTCAGAAGCAGATGTGGGAAAATGAATTCTAGTGGCTGGCTGCCATAATCGGTAGTTTCCCGTGGTTTCTCCGATCAACACCAGGCGAATGCCGGAGCAGTACCCTAACAAACGGGCCACGGACCGCGCGCGATCTCACCTTCCTCTTCCTTGTCCTACCCTCACCCCTTACTAACACTACGCTACCACACATGCCGGGAGACCGGTGGGAATCATAGAGCTTATCCTGGCTGGGGCGGTTTCTAGATTGGTGGGAGATACCTGGTCGGGGAAACCTCCGTTAGCGGAACGGTAGGTCGGCGCCGGATCTCGGGATTCAGGGAAGGAAATCACCGCCACTTCCAGCATTACAAAAAAGACATTCGCTTCGCGACTAATGACCCCAGTAGTTGGCGCTGCGGTAATCGCTAAACAATCAATGAACGAATCAGAGGGGCTGCGTGTGCGTGTGGTAGCGGCGGCGGCGGCGCGTGGGAGGCAGAGGGGGAGGCGGAAGAGGAGGCCGCGGGCGACTGCGAGATGGCGGCGCTGCTCGCGTCCGCGACGCTCCTCGGCGCCCCGGGCGCGGCGCCCCCGCCCGCAGGTGCGTCCCGGCCACCGCCCGCCAACGCCCACGCGAAGGAAGGTGAAAGGCGGGCATTGCAGGAACGGACAGACACAGTCAGTCAGACAGACTTACAGACTCTGTCAGACAGACTGAGTCTCCGACAGACAGACGGACAGACATTGGCAACCAGACTGACAGCCTCTGGTAGACAGACTGACTGACCCTGACAAGCAGACAGACAGTCGCACAGACAGACTTAGCATAGTTTCTCTTATTACGAAGTAAGGGCGAGGGGAGTAAAAGTGTGCCAACTATCGCAGCACCGGCAGCGCCCTCCGGCGACAGCGAGGGCGGTGCGCAGGGCGCCGCCGACAGCCGCGCCCCGCCCCCGCCCCCACCGCTCGGGGGCCCAGGGGCGCACGCAGAGCTCTGCGCAGACAGGTATTCTCAGCCGCCATGAAGGGCGATGGCATAGCAAGAGATAGTAGTGAAGCCATTTACACACGAGCTAACTGTAAACGATCGCACTGTTGAAATTAGTGCGTGGACATAACCTGCAGTTCTGTTGCCAACAGCGATTAAGTAGTAGCTGTCCCTTCTTGCAGTAATCTCTCTATATCTCTCGTGACTCGTTGAGAATGAGAATTCAGTCGGTACGCGCAGTATGAGAACAGGTAGAATAGCACAAGAGTAGTTAACGTAACAAGGGCGCGAAACATGCGATTCACATCCAAGTGTAGCGAGGGCAACGCAGAGACGAATTACCTCGGGCCCGTGTTGTGTTTACTGTTTTTGTTGTACTACTACTTTGTATCACTATGTTAGCACACATAGTGTGAAAACAACGTTAACTTCGTGAGCGTTTAGGCGCTAGCGTTGACGGCAGATGGACAGACATGTTTTGCCGTCGTTCGATTTTTCGATTTCAATGACCCACAAAACATAGATTCCGACTACACAAACGTTAGAGGAAGTAATTTACTATACATACGGGCAAGATTTCCAGGGTTTGGCAACAAGAGGTTTTCGGAAGAAGAGAAAAATTCGTGCTTTTTACCCCGCAGCATCACACTTATATATCTAAACTGCGTAAGCAGTAGTGAGAAAGTGTTTATAGTTCGTCAGTGTTGTTATTGTTTTTCGCTCGATCTCGCTTAAAGGTTTTTTGCCTCGACCTGTCGGTGCCCTGCAAAATACCCTCGAACCCGATTGTAAAAAAAATATATTAATGTAAAATACCTTTTTTTAAAAATGTTCTTCTGCTTATTATACAGGATGAGTCACATAACGTTAGCACCTCCTGGAATTTTTGAACGGTTGAAGTTATTGCAATGCAGTTCTCACGGAAGAGCATGAGGAAAATAGGCTAATTGATGCATATAAATTCATTTCCATTAAATCACTTTTATTTTGTGAGATATTGAATTTTTTAAAAATGGAACTATGTATATTTTTAGCTTTATCACGAAGAGCGTAAAACGACGAATCGAATTTTATATATATAATATGGTCATCTGTTATAAAAGCATTTTTAAATAATTTTGACTTTTTGATACTAGTGTAACGGATATTTTGAATGTAACAGTTCATCGTCCAAGACCAAGTAGCGCTATCGCTGCTAACAGGTGATCGGGGCGTTACAATATGTGTTAATAACGAATCGCAAAATTCAAAATTTCTCAAATTTTTATTTATTTATCTTATGATAATATGTATATTATTGAATTCGTCTCGACATGATATACAAAAACAATGCATTCTTCTATTTGAAACAAATGAAGTTACCTCAATATCTCGTAATTTACAAGTGATCAAATGGAAAGAAATTCATATATATACTGGTCCCATTTTCTCATGCACTTCCGTGAAAACTGCATTGCAATAACTTCAACCGTAGAAAAACTGCCATAGGGGCTGAAGTTAAGTGACTCATCTGCATATTAAATGGTCTGCCACTGAGACGTTGTGGGCGTGGTCGCAGGGGCGTGGCGGCTGCTTTGCTCGACAGCGACGGCGCCTCCGTGTCCTCTGAGCTAGAAGGAGAAGAAGAAGAAGAAGAGGAGGAAGGAGAAGAAGAAGGAGTGTACGAAGCCTCCGCCCGCGCAGAAGGTCTGTGTGCGTTTCTTGCACACCCACGAACCCACATACATAGTGCCTCCGTTTTATAACTGGGGCGGTCGCTCGTGGATTTGGCTTCGGCGAACGAGGCCAAGGGGATGACGGGGAAATCGAGGCAGGGTGGTCGGAAGCACTGAATGGAATTGAATTGAATTGATGCCTTATTTTATGGCGGCCGTTGAGTGCGTGGGGGTGGTGGTGTTGGGTTGCAGGGGCGGTGGCGAGCGAGGGCGGCGGGGAGAGGCGGCGTGGCGCCGGTCCACGTGAAGCGGTGGTCCACGACCGACAGGTAATCCTTGATTGTCTCAGAAGCGAAGGGTACTCTGCGGTCAGCAGTTAGCCCGACGCATCGTAATACTCACATTCAAGTACGCAAACACACATACATGCACACAGGAAGAGTCATTTCAGGTTCCTAGTCTATTTATTGTTACATTTGGCCGCACAAGCGGGCCGTGCGTTTGCAGGAGGCCCTGGCCAATAAGCGCGTCGCCGGCGTCGTCGTCGGCCCCACGTTGGGCGCCAGTTTGAGCGGCGCGACCTTTCCCGTCGTGCCCGCCGTGCGCGAGGGGGGCAGCAGCAGCCTGCAGGCCTCCTCGACCGCGCCCGCGCCGCCGCCCGGCCACCGCAGCAGCCGTCGACGTCCTCCGGTGCCGCCCGCCGCCCGGGACCCCGCGCGCCGCTCCCCCGCCCCCGCCACCCCCCCGCTCCCTTCCCTCCCCGCTCCGCAAGAGTACGCATCGCGCCAGCCGGCCCACGGACTTTCCTTGTCCTATCCTCACCCCTAATACGTGGGGTTTTATTTATAGGCGCGCGAGGCCTTGTCTTCACGAGGAAATATCACGCGTCTTTCTCGCTCGTGCTGCTAGATGTCGCATGATCGCCACTACTACTCGAAATGCGATCATGCGACATCTAGCGGCACGAGCGAGAAAGGCACGGAATACCGTGAGATAGTCATCGTGAAAGCAAGGCTTCGCGCGCCAAGATATAAAAGTTCAAGTATACTTATAGTTATTTACACTTATATGCATTACACCACCACACATGCCGGAAGACGTGTCGGGATCTTAGAGCTTGTCCCGGTTTGTTGAGACACCTGGTTGGGGGTGAGAGTGGAGTCAGTATTTAATTGGTTGCCCGGGTGACACCGCGTCCATGGCAAGGGTGCCGACGATTCGGTCGCCACTCTGCGACCTTCTTCCGACTTCCTGCGACCGAATTACGCCCTGAGGAAGGTCGCAGAATGGCGACCGAAACGTGGGCACCTTTGCCATGGACGCGGCGTCACACGGACAGCCAATTAAATACCTGGTTGGGAGATAACTAAGTTGGGGATAACTATCTGACGAGTAGGTTGGCGCCAGATCTCGCCATCCAGCGGGGAAGATCACCGCCACCTCCAGACCAAACCTTACATTACACTTACCGCACTAATGACCTTAGCAGTTGATGGGTACAAAATCACTAGCTAAAAAAGCAGCGAGGATGGCCCTGGGCACCCTAACGTCACTGCAGCGCCTCTGACCGGCAGAGATTCTAGTCCCGACGAGGGCAGAATTTCGGTTACAAACATAGTTGAGTGGAATCTAACTTGTGTGGGGGGAAATTCTCTGGTCCGGTAGTTTTCCCTGTCTGTCGATCAACACCAGGCAAATGCCGGAGCAGTACGCCAACGAAACAGGGCATGGCCCGCGTGCGATCTCTCCTTTCTCTTCTTTGTTCTATCCTCCCCCTTATGATACCCGCTACCTCTCGCAATAAAAAATACACTACACTTACTGGACTAATAACCTTAGCGGTTGACACGCACGGAATAACCAAT